GCATATGACATTGTTGCAACTCCTCAAAATTTTCATGCTTGTTTTAAAATCGTAGGAAGTGTATTTAATATTAAGTTTACTACTATAAATTTGGGTTGTTTTAATATTAAAAAGAATGGTATCAACAAAATGAATTTAAATGAAATGTTTATGAATTGGTACAAATGTAAAATTCATAAGAATCAATGCTTAGGCATATCATAGATGGGTACATACTACATATATGTATAATAATGTTTAAGATTACCATAGATATGTAATAAATTGTTTATATTTTTTCAAATTTTTTATTTGTCTATAATTATGTAAAGTTTATCTGTATGTATTTACAAAATAAAAGTATGTAGTTGTCACGTGTATACTGTGATGGTTGTGAAAATAAAAAAGGTCGAGATCTTTCATAAGAGTTTCTTGATACTGACACTGATTCTTAACTAATATTACCTTTATTAAAAGAAGAGACGTGCCGTTTTGTAACGTCCTGTACAAAACCTTTCCAACGAAACCCGAGCTTACCATTTCGCGGTATGCTAATCCATATTTTTATCGTTACGATCCCTGGGTGGTCTGATAAGTTGTTCTATATCGCATATCGTATATCGTTTGCCATGTGGGTAATCGTTATATTAAATATTATTAGGAGAACATAGAAGAAGACGGAAAACTATATTTATATAGATAAATGTAATTATTGTCAAAAAGAAAAACTAAACAGACTCAGGCACCGGGAACAGGCATATATCTCCGAACACCCAAATTTCTAAACGACAACATTGCAATGGACACCTTCGGATCACTGCCAGATAACCAATTCATTTTATCAATCCAAGGCGTTCTCATGAAATACCTGATCCTCTCCTTCTAAAAGATCAACGAGCTGAATACCCGAACAACCTGGCTCGGAATTAACAGGAACAGAACAGAACAGACAGAAAGAGAGAAGAAACAGAAAGAACAGACAGAAACAGAGCATTTTCGAAAACTGCTCTGAAATTTGTTGCAGAGAGGCATCATCCAATCCCATTTGTGAGATCTTTCAGGAAGCACATTTCAGGGCAGTCTCCGAAAATGTTCTGTCTCTGTCGTGTGGAAGTTAATTTCGACCCCTGATTTACAATGTATGTATGTATGCACAACATACACACATACACATATGCATACATACATAGATAACCGGGATCCGTCTAGATTTGTCATGTTGGTGTGTTTGAAAGCACTATGACATTACATTATATCTTATTAATTGCTATTATTTGGGTAGCTCGCTGTGAAGAACAATATTGTTCTATTGACAGTGCAAAGAATTGTGACAGCGAAAAGGAAACCGTTTATAGTAAAGGTATTTCTTCGTAATTTAAAAAAGCTTTGGTGTTTTTTTTGTCATGTTTTTCATGAATTTTATTTCGAAATAGGGTTAAACGAAAGGTATAATAAATATTATCATGCAATTGAGGAATCGAAGAAAAATTACAGATCATGTAATAATACAAACAATGGTTGTTATAAAAATGTTATTACAAAAGACTTGAAACCTTTCAAGCAGCAGAATATAAACAAGTACTTAATAAATACTGCAAAGGATAGGTATATGAATGTGGTAAATCTTAAATCTCATAATGTTCATTCGAGCACATAATATTTTGTTTTTTACAGAGGAACATTTTATCAAATAATACAAGGGAAGATATATAGACAGAAGGACTGTATGTTTCCATCAAGGTGTGCTGGAATAGAGTATTTCCTTTTAAAATTGGCTCCCAACTTACCGGATATTGATTTAGTGATAAATACACGTGACTATCCTCAAACTAGTAAACATTTTGGGGGTCCATTACCTATTTTTTCATTTAGTAAGGTACATACATTTTTTACTCCATGAATTAACAAATACATGTACAGCAAAATTTATTCTTTGAAATAATCAAAGACTTCGAGTGTGTGCATCTAGACAGCACAGTATTATGATATTACGTATCCAGCATGGTCATTTTGGGAAGGTGGCCCTGCAATTTCTTTGTATCCTCGAGGACTTGGTAGGTGGGATGAACATCGCATGACATTAGACAAAGCTGGTGAAGAAACACCATGGTCCAAAAAAGAAACTAAAGGATTTTTTAGAGGCTCTAGAACTAGTTCAGAGCGTGATAATTTAGTGTTACTGAGTCGTCAAAAACCAGACTTGGTAGATGCTCAGTACACAAAGAATCAAGCATGGAAATCTGATGAAGTAATTATTTTTTGTTCATATATGTGTGTATAGTTGTAGGCATAACATAATTTCGTATTTCATTATAGGATACATTACATGCACCCCCAGCTGTTGAAGTCTCCTTAGAATCTCATTGTAAATATAAATATTTATTTAACTTCAAAGGTGTTGCAGCATCATTCAGGCACAAACACTTGTTTTTGTGTCAGTCTTTAGTATTTCATGTTGGGGATGAATGGACAGAATTTTACTATGATGCAATGGTTCCTTGGATTCATTATATACCTGTCCCTAAGGATGCTAACCAATCAGAGATAGAGTACAATTTTCAATTTTTACTATTCTTTTATGATATAAAATTATTTAACATAATCTTAAACTTGTAGGGAACTAATACAATTTGCAAAAGATAATGATGAATTGTCTAAGGAAATTGCAAATCGAGGAAGAGACTTCATATGGAATAATTTGAAAATGTCTGACATTTTGCAGTTTTGGAAAAAGCTTTTACAAAGGTATTCCAAGCTTCTAACATACAAACCTTCTTTAGATGAAACTTTAATACTAATTAAAAAGAGGGAATTTTAATAATAATGCGATTTGCATTTAATATAAATAATTTTATGTTTTTTTTATTAAAATTTCAATTTTATGATGTAAAATATCGATCAATAAAAATAATTTGGTCAGAAACAGATGTCTTCAACTTTTCGAATAAGCATTATGTTAAACGAACTTTTCCTTCATTTTTATTCATACTGTACAATGTCAGGGCATAGCACAATGTGGCAAGTTTCAATATGAATCAATTTATTGCCCTGACGGAAGATCTAGAGCAAATAAAGGCCTTGTACATTGCATCATTTTAAGGACATGCTGTATTCGATTATTTAACTGTTCGTAACGGCGATAATATAAAACTTTGAATTCATTGCAGTCCGTTTTTCTTTTAAAAAACAATTTATTCAACAATTATTAAAAAACTGTACAAGGCTTTTTGTGCTTGGTTTCGCGCTTAAAACTAAGTAATTCTTAAGTACTCAATTATTTATTTATAACGAAAAATTACGGAAACATTTCCTAGAATGTAAAGAAACATATGATACCGTCATCAATGTTTCTAGAATGATATATGTATGCTACAAATTGTGTATGTTATTCACATATTGATTTGAAATT